GGAGCTCACTGGGAGTTTATTCCAGATTTGTGGAGCATAAGAACTAAAAGCTCCTTCTCCATGTTTGTTTCTGGTTTTAGGATTACAGAGTAGATTAGAGCCAGAAGATCTGAGATGTCCAGGCAGTTTATTCACTGACAACAAGTATGCTATGTATTTTCGAGCTCAGACATTCAGGGATTACAGCCCATCCAAAGTATTTAAACTCTATTTTCTGAGAGATGAGGAGCCAGTGTAATGATTTCAGTGCTGGGGTGATGTGCTACACTTTTTAAGTTTAAATGAGGATGTAGGCAGTAGAATTCTGGATCAATTGTGGCTGCCTGGTAGACTTTTTATGCAGACCAATTAAGGCAATGTTGCAGTTATGAATTCTGTTCAAGTTGAACTAGTTTTCTTAAGATCCTGTTGAAAAATTAGTCCTTTAATCTTGGAAATCTTATTTAGGTGATATAAGGCCGACTTACTGTCTTGTTTATTGGCCTTTGAAAGTTCATGTCTAAGTCCATCACTACACCCAGATTTCTAGCCTGAGTGGTGGTTGCTAGCTATAATAACCAAAGCTGTGCTCTCTTTTTAACACTCTTCTTCTGATCCAAAGAGTTTTACTTCATCATAGTTTTGAATAAGCTGAATCAAACTGTGGTCAGAGGCACCGGTAGCAGCTGTGTATGGCAGCCTTGCTTCTGTCAGTGAGCCCCAGAGCAGCTGTGGCTACACTGTAGCTTCCTGCCACCATTACTGTGTGAGGGTATGGGTGAATGTGTGAATGGCTGAATGTAGTGTAAAGCGCTTTGGTCAACTCCCCTGACTTAAAACATGCTATATAAGTACAGGGGAAAAAATTGGCACGTCTATGCTTTGATTTGTTATTTGCATTAACCCAAAGCTCAATATCAATATCCACGGGCAACACAGAGACATACAGGACAAACAACCATTCTGTGTTACTATATTTGGGCAAAAATGGCCGATCCAGGAATCAGTGATCTGAATGAAAATGATTATTGTTATTTTTTTTTACTGATTAACACGTATTAGTTTTAGGTATAAATAATGATCCACTGATCAGTCCTTTCTGACCGGACTTCTCTTTTAAGGAATACTTTCACCCCTTCTTTCTACCCCTGAGGTGTTGTAAAGAATTCTTTTTATTTTGGTAATTATCTTCTCATACCTGGCTTCCACTTTGAGGTCTAATGCATATATTCATGTTCACTCAGATTTTTTTCCTGAATATAAAAACTGACAAGAATTAATTTCCCAATACGCAAATACAAATAAATCTTTTTCCTTAAGGCTCCATTCTAACTGTCACTATGGTATTGCCTTCTTCTCCTCTCAGATAAAAAAGCACTTCCTGGGAAATGATAACATTGTAAAAGCCTAAGAACTCCATAGACTCATCACACTCTTACTTGGACACAAGAGTTAAAAAAAGTTTCAGTAGCTTTGATAATTTTGGCACATCTTTGCACAGATTACATAAAACAGGATGCAGGATGTCTGTTTCCAAGGCAACAGTTTTCTCTCTGCCTTTGCTCTAATTCTGATTTGTAATTTTGACACAGATCACTGGGTTTTAATTTCTTACAAGCTTTAGTTATTTACCATTGTAACCTGAAATACTTTGTCAAAGTTCTTGCCCAGGATGGATGTATTTTTTTTATATAATACTATGTGAATAAGTAACCAAGATGAATGATAGATTTACCTCCTGTGATTTCTACATTTGTATCCCAGTATTTTTCAAAGCATATGCAGCTTTATTGAGTAACATTTATATAGAAGACATCTGTATTTTAGGATTAGATATTTACATTGTACTCTTTCTGGATAAAACAGCTCAACACAGAAGCATATCAGTAGTATAGCAATGCAGTAATTTTCCAATTCTTATGTTGTATCTTCTTCTGCAAGGTTTAAATTCTGCCAACACCCACTGATTTCAGAGCTTACTATCGCCTCAACACTTTAATACAGTAGACATCAAATTGAAAGTTTACTTTTTTAAATCAACCATTTTAACCTATCAGTAGTTGTAAATAGTAGAGGGTGGAGTCCCAGTGGTTTAGTAGTTAAAGTCATTGACTTTAATGCAGAGGACTAATTCCGATCCCAGTTGTATTAGAAGGAGGATCTGCTATAAAGATATTGCCATGTCTGTGAGCGTCGAGCGAGTTGCTTTTATTAATGTGGTGACCCCTGAATAAGGGGGAAGCCTAACCTTTCACCATTTATTCAGGGGGTAAACATTTACTACTTCCAACTATAGAAAGCTCATGTGTGAAAGGAGATTTTTTCTTCCTAATTTATAAAATAAGGGCTCCTAATATTCCACAGGTCTATGGGTTATATGCACACCTAACTTCCATTTTTTAAGGTTAGAACAGAAGAATTTTTACAATAATGGAGCACTGTAATTTCAAATACATTGGTTGAGCTTCCGAAACTATCTATGATTGTGTGCTTGTCAAGCTCAACTCCACCGAGCTTAAAGTAGAAGAGTGTTTGACATTAGATGCTAATGCTTCTGATTAAGTGTTTAATTAACTATGTAGCCCATCTAGCCTCTTTTAAAAAAATCTGATGTTATCATCAGAGGCAGAAAATCTTGCAAACTAAACCAGTTTCTGATGGCCATGTTCTCCATCTGTCACCGGTACGAAAAAAAATCTTAGTCTAGAGCTTGACAAATGTATTGAGGGCTAAATTCAAAGCATGTGACACAGAAGAGGAGGAGCAGTAGTCGTGGTAAGGATTTATGACAATTTCCTCTCTCAGACCATTGTTTGGAGAATCATGGTATGTCAGTTTCTGAGCACTGGGGAGAGTGGTTAGAATGCTGGGTTAGAGTTCCTTCAAAAAGACTAGAAACCACTCCAACTTGGAACTAACCCTTTGATGGCTTTCTCATTTCAGCTGGGCAAAATTATAGCTACAGACCAAAATGGGATTTAATGTGGCGTAAGGCTGCAACAAATGATTATTTTGGTTATCGTTTATTCAGTCAATTATTATTTTTTTTCGATTAATCAATTGATAATCTGACAGCAAATGGTTCTTTAAAGAATATTCTCTACAGAGTTAAACCAGGTGAAACTAAAAAGTTTCCACTTGAGTTCTGGATAGAGCATATTGAGTGACATTTTTTTTTCTTATCTTAAATGCAAAATATTTATATATTGTTTTACAATTTTCATGTAATTACTGTTTTAAGTGGTTTTTTAAAGTTTGTTTTTAGTTGATGATTATTTAAATAATCGATTAATCCCATTAATTGTTTCTGACCTAATGTGGAGTTACATCAAACTGATGCTGTACACTTGGAGACACAAAAGTAGTTTGTAAGCTACACCTTTTTGTTACCACATTTTCTTGTTTTTAATTTCCTATGAATATCCTTCAGTACAGCTCCCTCAAAACAGCCATACAGTAACATTTCTGGGTTACCCTGCTTGCAGAGGTGCAAATACCTGCTGGACAACTGATTGCATGGGTCTTATCCACACATTCTGACACTTGTGCATTAGAATTCATTTTTATTCTCTTTACACAATATTCTGTTTGACTAACAAAGTTTGAGTTTTTTTTGTTATAAGTTGTAACAATGGAATTTTGTGTGTAATTAATCAATTGGAGCTTAACCTTTATGTAATGAAATACGGATTAAATTAGTTGTTTTTTGACAGCTGTTATTTTTAGTCTGAACCTGTATATAATATTTAATCTTGCTGCTCTAAACATCTTCCTTCAAGATCAAAGCAACACTTAATTCTCAAAGTTTCAAACAGCATTCATTTAAATAGCTTTTCTTTTAAACAGCAGTTTTAAACAGTTGCTCAGCAACACACGTCTTCCTGATTAATGCTGCTATTTCTAATCAGCTGCAATGATCCAAACTTAATAATATGTCTTTAAACATTGTATGATGATGGCACCCAACAGAATTTCTTGGGTCCATTCTATGCTATCCCCTGCCCTCCTACAGCTCATTATGTGGCATATCTGTAATCAACCCCTGCTAATTAGGGGGCTTATGATATTTCCTTTGGATCGCCAGCAGCTTGATTGTTGCAGCTGCATCCAAAACCTACAGTAATTGTAGTAGCTTCCATCGTTTTTGTCTCTTGGCTATTGAAAGGTATTTGATGGCCGTAGAAGATGAAGGACAGGTATAGTACATCGCTTAAAATGTTTGTTTCTCTTCTCTCTCTCTTGCTAAAGGGGTTTTATTGGCTTTTTAAATTTCACATTGTCTCCTTGATATATAGTTGAATCATATTTTGTTGAGTAAAATGTTGTTTTGTCGTTCTTTTACAGTGCCCTTTTACTTTATTCTTTCTTCCATATTTTTGTGGTTATACAAAAAATGTACAATTACAATGATATGAAAAACGAAGGCTTCAAAGCCATATATGCAGGGGCAAGGCTTGGTATTTGATTCATCCCATCATATGCCCTTAAACTGCATGGGGAGGAGGTGATAGGTGCACATAAGATCGACACAAAGCAAGGTGGATCTGTAATGCTCTTCACGGCATCATGCTGATGAGAAGGATTATTATGTCCCCCCCTCAGGCAGTGGAGACACACATAGTGAGTGTGTCCACGAGTGTGTTTCAGTTCCAGTGCTGCAATTTATGTGCAAGGCTGTTTTCATCTAGCTGTGTGAGCAGAAAAAATACATGGATTTAACCTTGTGAGACAAAAGTGAGTGTTTTTTAAGCTCCTCACATTGAATCTACTTTATCATTTGTAATAATAGCTTAGATCTCACCCCACTCAGCAATAAAACTACAGAAATTGAGTTGCAGAGCACATTTTAACTCCTCATTCCTTTCCTCTTGGTGTGCACACCCTTTTCTCCACCTTTTCTATACCCTCCCTCCCTCCCTCCCTCGACAACAGCCAGTGGTACACTCCAGCAGTCTTTGCACCTCTCTCTCTCCCTTCCTCAGCTTCAACAGTCCCCACACTAGAGCAGACGCTGGTGCAGTGTCGATCCATACATGCACATGTGTTATCTTTCTGGGCTACCAGGATTCTTGGAGAACGCCCAGCACTAGAGTTTGCACTGGTTGCTGTGAGCTGATCCACGCGAGAATGTGCGCGTGAGCATTTTTATACTTTGGAGCATGTGCACTGACTGAAAGACACAGCAAGGATGCGTGGTGGGCATTATCTGTCGTGATCTGAGGAGTTTGTGGTGTACAATACTTGTGCTGTCCATCTTACCCTCCCTCCAGTTTGGCTGTCTGGCAAGGACTAACAACAGCATCCCGCTGGGATGTCCACCTCACCTGGTGCAAGAGATGGAAACCAAAGGAGCTCTTGTAAGTAAATATTTACATTTTATATCCCCTGTTTATGGAAATATAAACAGTGCAAGGCAAAGGTTATCCTAAAATATACATTGTTATTCAGCATTTAAATGGCATTAAAGCAGAACCAAAAGATGTGAAGAATCACGAGTAAAATAGTCTTTGTTTAGCAGGATGTGAAACAGACTGATTATATAAAGAAAGTAGTTTTAATCAGTGTTAGCAATGCACATTGTACTCTGTGTAAATATGTGTGTGTGTGATTGTAAGGACGTTCAGTGTATCAATTCAGCAGGGTTACAAATATACAAAAACAACAGGGACAAATCAGAATAATTTGGATTATTAGAAAATATTCATTCAGAATTCAGAAATTCATTTCAAGATATGTTAAGATTTCAAGGATTTGTTTTATTTAATGTAATGCTTATAGATCAGAGCTAATAAAGCACTAAATCCACACAGTAAATTTTGCAGTTAACTTTAAGAGTTCAATTTAACACCAATCTGTGTGCATTTGGTCACACTCTGAATTAGTGTTAAATTAACTCCCTACGTAGTGTATATCTTATTCCAGTTTTTGTAATAACTCTAAAAGCATCATTGTACTGTGATACTACATAACAATGTGGAACACTATCACATGTGGGGAGTGTTGGCCTACTAGGTTAGAGCCGTGCGCAAGTGATCTGAGAAGGTTGCAAGTGCCCAGTTCAATCCCCACATCCTCCACTCTGGCTTCTAAAACAGTTAACTCCACACTGCTTCCTGGGTGCCACACAATGGCAGCCCACTGCTCCCCAAGGGGAAGGCTTAAAGGCAGAGGTACATTTCCCCACTGTGAGATCAATAAAGTTCAATTATTATTATTATAAAGTCAGAAAAGGTTAATAAAATATATTTAATCAGAATTTATGTTAAAGGATTTAACTCAGGTGTCCTCAAGTTTTTCCTATGAAATAAATATAAGCAATTCTAATCATAAGTTTCAAAGACTTTTTATTGGAAGAGTGGAGATGCACAGAATTCCAGTTGAGCTTTCCAAAATTGGGGATGATTTTGGGAGTCATGCACCTGGTAAAGATGGTCCACTATACTATACCACCTCCAACAGCATGAAATATTTGAAGAACTTCATTCATTTTTATTCCGACACGCTTTTTGACTGGGTTTTAATTTCCTAATTCTGGCCTTGCAAGTAAGATGAACTGTCACGAGATTTGTGAATTC